AAAGTTTCCTCACTGCCAGCCCTGAAGTGGAGCCTTGCTCACTTACCCACGGGCAGTGCAGCCTGCAGCAGTCTTCTGGACCGAGTCTCTGCCTGCTGGGCGCTCGGCGGGCAGGTGGGGAAAGGCACACGGGGGCGGGGCTTGCGGGGCTCCTTCTTGCCGGAGCACCACTCCGGTGCGCTCCGGCAGAAAACGACCCCTGGCTAGAATTAGTATGGAAAACCTGGATTTTAATTAGCTTTCCTGTAATGGAGTCCTATATGGGACTCTAGTGGCTACACCACCTTCTTCATTTTCATGTTTCTGCTGCTACAGTCTTTGTTGGTACTAGTTGCTGCTTCACTATCCTAATTGAAGACACTGATGTACAATTGCTGTCTCATCTGACTACAGTGCCCAGGTCCTGCTATAGGAGATGTGCCGGGGCACAGTAGAGGTGGTGTTGATGCTGTGGAAGGGTGATGGATTGTCGGTGGCATCCCCAGTCCTGGACAGGAGACTTTGTGAAAGGGGAGTGACAGGGTTAGGGCTGCCTATAGGCTGTGGAGTGTAGCCTGGGGTAGGAGGATGCTGAGGTCCATGTGTGTGCTGTGTGTAGTGGAGGCAGGACAGGCAGAGAAGGATTGAGATAACACATGTGAGGATGGTGCAAGTCAGAGTCATACAGCGCCACTTCGCCTCTGTCTCCAAACACTGGGTAAGCCCTACATCCATGTAGGCTGGAGATGCACCTTGCTGTGCTAGTATGATTTCTGCATCGGCATAGAACTGAGTGGCTTCAGTGGTGTGTTGTGGCTTGAGTGGGACAATGATCAGCTACTGCATTCAGAACTAGCTGCAGTTTCTGGGTGGTCTTCCAGGTCAGTCCCACAGAGAGTGTGTTGCAGTAGTCCAGCTATGAGCCTATAGTGTTAGTCCACAGACACAGTTTTATGTTAAAGAAAAAAAGAGATGCTTTATTAAAGGAAATCTACTCACAGTTTTTTAAAAAGAGAGAAAGCAGAAAAGTCATGCAAATGTATAAGGGTAGCCAAAGTGAAAGTGGTTAACAGCATTCATTTATTGACTGATGGCCAGGTATAAACTCAGATTCCGAGCCTGTTGACAGAAAGAGTCCTTTATTCTTACATCATTTCCAAGGTAGCCTAAGCCGTGTGCCTTCTGCAATAAGCAGGAAGTGCGATCCTGTTGGCTGACGGGTGGCAAGCCGAGCACACCAAGAGAAACCGTAAGCCAAGTAAATGGAGTAAAGCCCAGGAAGGGTAGCTCTGTAGACACACCAGGCCCCCTGCTGTGCTGCCCCCTCTGGCCTGGGGAGCCGCTCTCCCGTGTCAGTGCCCCCCCCCAGAACACCCTTTACTGCTCCTCTTGATGTCACGGCATCTTGGTCTGAGGTATCCGCTAAGGAGGTCATTTGCCTCATCAAGGGATTAAAACTAGGAAAAGCCCCGGGCTCTGATCTAATCCCTAATGAGCTATTTAAGGCTGATCCACGATGGTGGGCTGCAGTTCTGACCCCAGTTTTTTTCACTCAAATTAACATCAGCGGACAAATACCCGATTTAAGGAAACTGTTATTGTCCCAATATTGAAAAAGGGGTCCAGAAGTGATCTATCCTGCTTTCGACCAATCAGCCTTCTTTCTTCTTTAGGAAAGCTATATTCTGCTTATCTACTAAAGAAGCTCCTGGATTGGGTGGAATCAGAAACCTTATTGGGATATGAACAGATAGGATTTAGGCGGGGTTCTTCAGCATACGACCGCTGCCTCGTTCTTTATCACCTGGCTGAGATATACTCATCCTTTAAGTGGGGGACATCTCTATGCGTCTTTTATTGACCTCAAGGGGGCCTTCAATTCTGTAAATCACCCCAGATTGTGGAACAAATGTAATCAAACTACTACGGACAAAAGACTCCTGGGACTTATTCAACTATTCTATTCAGGTTCAACTGCCCAAGTACGATGTGGGTATGATGGGAATTTAACAAATCCATTTAATTTGGAAAAGGGAGTATGACAGGGATGTTTGTTGGTGCCTTTTTTGTGTTATTTATATTTAAATGATGTAGCAATAATCTTTAATGACTGCTACCATCCACCAAAATTAGCTGAGATTGGAGTGCCTATTTTGCATTATGCGGATGATGCCGTGATCTTGTCCTAAACTAGGGTCAGGTGGCAAAGGGCCTTGCAGTCTTTTTCTAGTTGTTGCTCTTGAGAAAGCCTGGTGATTAACTATTCAAAATCTAAGATCCTAGTTTCCACCAGGATGAGAAAATGGAACCTGTCTCAGTGGTCCATCAATGGAGCTAATAATGAGCAAGTCAAGGCCTTCTCCTATTTGGGGATTTTACTTTTGGTAGATCTGCCTTGGACCCCCCAACTTAGAACAGTGCTTAACAAAGCAAGCATCATAAAAAGGTTCTTCCATAATAAGAGGGGGAAGTATATTCCTGGAGTGGTGCAAGCTTTTAATTTGGAAGTGGTTCCCCGTATCCTTTATGGCTCAGGTATGTGGATTAAAGCTATCTCTGACCAACCCTTTGATCAACTTTGATCAACCCTTTGATCAACTTTGATCAACCCTTAGCCCAATTTTTAGGGAAAATACTGAATATTCCCTGCTGTGTTTCAAACATTGTATTGCGGGTAGAATTTGGACAGATGGGAAGCCAGAGCGTGGTTTTATGTCTTTAAACTGAAATTAAAACAGCTGTGTGTCAGGTTCATAAGAACATAAGAACATAAGAGACGCCAATGTTGGATCAGGCCAAAGGCCCATCCAGTCCAACACTCTGTGTCACACAGTGGCCAGAAATACCAGTGCCATCAGGAGGTCCACCAGTGGGGCCAGGACATTAGAAGCCCTCCCACTGTTGACCCCCCCCAAGCACCAAGAAGACAAAGCATCACTTGCCCCAGAGCCCCTATCTATACCTTGTGGCTAATAGCCACTGATGGACCTCTGCTCCATATGCTTATCTAATTCCCTTTTGAAGCCGTCCATGCTTGTAGCCGCCACCACTTCCTGTGGCAGTGAATTCCATGCGTTAATCACTCTTTGGGTGAAGAAGTACTTCCTTTTATCCGTTCTAACCTGACCGCTCTGCAGTTTCATGGAGTGCCCACGAGTTCTTGTATTGTGAGAAAGGGAGAAAAGTACCTCTTTCTTTACCTGCTCTTTCCCATGCATAATCTTATAAACCTCAATCATGTCACCCCTCAGTCGTCGTTTCTCCAAGCTAAAGAGCCCTAAGCGCCTTAACCGTTCCTCATAGGGAAAGTGTTCCAACCCTTTTATCATTCGAGTTGCCCTTTTCTGCACTTTTTCCAAAGCTATAATATCCTTTTTAAGGTGTGGTGACCAGAACTGCACACAGTATTCCAAATGAGGTCTCACCATTGATTTATATAGGGGCATTATTATATTGGCTGATCTGTTTTCAATACCCTTCCTAATAATCCCCAGCATAGCATTGGCCTTCTTTATTGCAGTCACACACTGTCTCGACATTTTCAGTGAGTTATCCACTACAACTCCAAGATCTCTCTCTTGATCAGTCTCTGCCAGTTCAGACCCCATCAATGTGTATTTATATTTAGGATTTTTGGCTCCAATGTGCATCACCTTGCACTTGGCCACATTGAACCCCATTTGCCATGTTGACGCCCACTCGCCCATCCTTGACAGATCCCCTTGGAGTGCCTCACAATCCTCACTGGTTTTCACCACCCTGAACAACTTTGTATCATCCGCAAATTTAGCCACTTCACTGCTTACTCCCATCTCCAAATCATTAATGAACAAGTTAAAAAGCAGTGGACCAAGTACTGATCCCTGCGGTACCCCACTGCTTACCACCCTCCACTGAGAAAATTGCCCACCTACACTCACTCTCTGTTTTCTATGAACTAGCCAGTTTTTGATCCATAAAAGGACTTGTCCTTCTATCCCATGATTTTTGAGCTTACTTAGGAGCCTTTGATGAGGAACTTTATCAAAAGCTTTCTGGAAGTCAAGGTAAACAATATCTATTGGATCCCCCTTGTCCACATGTTTGTTCACCCCCTCAAAGAACACTAACAGGTTAGTGAGACAAGATCTTCACTTACAGAAACCGTGCTGAGTCTGCCTCAATAGGTTTTGTTCATCTATGTGCCTACTAATTCTTTCCTTAATAATGGTTTCCACCAATTTACCCGGTATCGACGTCAGACTGACTGGCCTGTAATTTCCCGGCTCTCCTCTGGAACCCTTTTTAAAGATGGGAGTGACATTAGCTACCTTCCGATCCTCAGGAATGGAGGCAGATTTTAAGGAAAGATTACATATCTTTGTCAGGAGATCCACAACTTCACATTTGAGTTCTTTCAGAACTCTCGGATGTATGCCATCTGGGCCTGGTGATTTATCAGTTTTTAAGTTGTCTATCAGTTTTAGGACCTCCTCTCTCGTCACCTCAATCTGACTCAGGTCTTTCAACACCCCTCCTGAAATCAGTGGTAAGTTTGTAAGCTGCTCTGAGACTCCTTTGGGTAGTGAAGGGCCATGGGGTATACATTCAATCTCTTCGCTTTTGCTCAGCGATAAGGATCCAAAGTTTACTCTAGCAACTGCAAAATTTTATTTTTATTTTTTTATTTTTAGATTTATATCCCGCCCTACCCGTCCTTTTAGCCCTTGCATTAAAAAAGAATAAGGAGCAAGTATCTTTTGCTATTCAAGATCTGTGAACCAATGAGCTTCTAAGGGTATAAAAGGAAAGACATATATGCCAAGCAGTTGTCAATGGCTAGGAAGTGTGTTAGGTATGAAGGGAAATCCACACCCTAGTTTTCCTGGACAAGGTGGAGTGGGGAACGAAGGCCTTGCCCTGGCAGACAGGATGGAGCTGGTTCAGCTTCCAGATCCCGAGATGGGATCTGAGGATGGCTCAGCCCAGCCCTGTGAGAAGCAGAAGTGTGGATTAACCCTTGATGTGTCCTGTGCTTTCAGCTGGCACCAACTGGCAGTGCCTCGCTCGTCAAGTCCATGGAAGTCATCCAGAACCCTGTGGACGTCTGTGACCAGGTGTTTGCCCTGATCGAGAGTCTTACCTGCCAGATCCAGAAACACTTGGAGGACCCTAAGTTTGCAGGTGGGGAGAATAATAGCTGGACTGTGTGTGTGTGTGTGTGTGTGTGTGTACACACTATGGGTCTTCCTCATCTGGATTCCTTTTCTCTCCTGTGGGCAACGTTCCCGCTAAGCTGAGTTAGTGTGAGTTAGCTCACAGTTTTTTAGCCTCCAGCTCACAGGTTTTTGTCTTAGCTCAGGGAAGGAGGGCTCCAGAGCCAACTAATTGATGCAGGAGCCAAATTGCCCGCTCACAGCTCTCATGCCAGTAGCTCACAAAGTAGAATTTTTGCTCACGGGACTCCACAGCTTAGAGGGAACGTTGCCTTTGGGTATGCTGATCTTTTACTGATCGTGACTGAGTGCTCACCGTTGCTTCCTCAGACCTTCAGCTTTACCACAGTGAGACATTGGAGCTGATGCTGCAACGCTGGAAGAAGCTAGAGAAGGATTTCCGCCTGAAGAACAGGCGCTATGACATCAGCAAGATCCCGGACATCTACGACTGTATCAAGTATGATGTGCAGCACAACACCTCCCTCAAACTGGAGGGCACTGCTGAGCTTTTCAGGCTCTCCAAGGCTCTGGCGGACATCGTCATCCCCCAGGTACGGCATGCTCCACTTGGAATGGCGGGAAATCTGGTTCCTGATGGGCAGCAAACTCTGACTGGAGTGGAGCGCACGTAGACACAGTAGCTGGGTTATGAGAAAGAGGAAGTGCTTCATTCGGCTCAATGCAGGAACCAGTAAATAATACGAAAGCAAGAGGCACTTCAAGCAAAGAACAGGTAATACATGATGCGTAAGATGCCTAATATGGGGGCAGTGGAAAGGTAAACATGTCACTTTCAGGCAAAGCAAGTTAAAAAACCATAGCTAAATGAAGTAAACAAAAGACGCATCTAGCCAAATATAAAAGATAAATGCCCAATAAAAACAAATCATGCAGACAAATAGCAGGTGGTTAGATTGCTTACCCTATAATTACCTCCTGCCTGTCTAGTTGAAAGCTAAGCGCTTTTAAGTTACCCTGCACTGTTCTAAAGCAGACTGTTTAGCTACCTTCTCTTGTTTCCTTTGGATGTCTGAAATGGAATTCTTCCAAAAGGGGGGAGCCTCCAGGAATACCCCCAAAAGGAGAAAATGAAAAATACAACCTCGCATAATAATGACACCAGAAAGAGGCAGAGCAATAAGGAAAGAAGCAAGGATGGGGTGAGAGGACGAGCAGGACTGGAAGAAGATCCGGCCGTGGGTGGTTCTGCCGTGGTCTGCCCTTTGTCACGAATCGGAGGCAGCCCCTCCCACTGTGGGAAGTGTCATATCCTCTCAGACCCCCTTGCTTCTTCCTCTGAGCTGGCAAGTGGGTTTAGTTCACTTGACTTCCACCCTCTTCTGAAGAGTGGACGCAAAGGTGGCAGGTACTTAGGCTGTTTTCCAACCTTGGTGCAGCTTCTGGTTTTGTTCCCCGGATTGTCTTGGCGTGCTTCTCCCTCCCTCCCTCCCACCTGGGAAAGATTCTGGATAGGCCAGTTGTATTGCTGGGGAGGGGCTGTCCCTGGTAAATGCTTGTTACCTGATCCCCACACGTCTTGCAACGCTGGGTTTTGGTGCTCCTGGCTGGAATATTAAAATGTCCTGGCTGCCCAGTGACAGTGCAGCCAAATGCTGAGAGCTCTCCTCCTCCAGTTCCCCTTCAGTGGAGGAAGTAATCCAGCTGGGTAAGGCATGCCTCTGCTTGCTTAGGTAGGGCTATGCAAATTTTGTGTGGCTCCCTATTGGAGTGATCGAAGACTGACCCTCCAGTTCGGATAGCCGTACTGCTTAGGTAGGAGGCTACAGCTTCGCTCCTTTTTCCATAGGCCGTGTCCAGCTGGCTTGGAATGGACGTGGCCAGCCTTCAGGGGACTGTGGCCGTTCCAGCCAGCATGGAGAACCCCATTTGGTATCCCAGGCGGCAGCGCACCAACACTGGTGGGCCCATTCATGGCATGGAGACAGGAAGGCATGGGGGGGAGGGGGGTGACCGGAGGCCAGCAGAGGCAGGCAGTCAGGCAGGAAGTGGGGGGGGGGGGGCTTCTTTTATCCTGTCCAGGTGTGTCGCGGAGAGGGGGGGTGGGGGGGGGGGGGGGGCTCCCTCGTCAGCTGGCTCCTAATTATCATCTGGGTGGAACTCTCCCCTCCCCCTCAGAAATGGGCCAGACCAGGGCAGACGGAGCTTCAGTTAACACACGCACAGCGGACCTGGAGCCAGGAAGGTGCCACTCCAGACCAGGAAGTGGCTAAGACACACACCTCCGCCCATATCCGAGTGCGGGGGACTCACCCTTGGCGAGGGCCATTCAGACAAGGAAGAGTGGGAATGGTCAGGAGAGGAGGCAGAAAGGCAAGAAACCTCATCCAGGCTTTTCCAGGCGGAACATTTCCAACGCCTCCTCAACAAGGTGATTCCTGTGCTTAACTATCAGATCGAGGTGCCAGAGAAGCCCAGGTCATCCCTCTCGGCTACATTGGACAGCATATAGGTTTTAAAAAGCCAGCCAGAGTACAAAGTATCTCCCTCCCCGGATTTCTTCAAGGACGTAATCAAGCTGGAATGGGGCCGCCAACTCAGTATTGTCTATAGCCAAAACGTTTTACTCCCTTCCAGAGGAGGTGATAGAGGACCTCAGGGTGCCCCTAGTGGGTGGTGGCACTGCATTCTGGGGCAGTACTGCCCAAGGATGGGGAGAATGCTCTAAAAGGCTCGTGGACAGCAAGAACGAAATGGCACTGAAGAAATCACACAAGGTGCCATCCCTGGCAATAAGGGCATCGGCAGTGCTCTCAAATTTTACAAGGGCAATCGTCATCTGGGTGGTTGACATAAGACATAAGCCCACTGGTACTGAAGAGGTCCTTGCTTAAGAAGAAGAGTAACAGAATTCACCTTAGACACATCACAGGACGCCATCCATTTCTGTGCCAGTCCACAAGCGGTGAACATAAGCATACAACAAAACTTCTGGCTGACACACTGGACGGTGGACCCACTGTCTAAAGGCACCCTTTCGTCAGAAAAATTCTTGGGCAGACTCGTCTTCAGAGAATCAAACCTGGAAACAGTCTTAGTCGAGTCAAAAGATTAGAAGTGGGCAAAGCCTTCACCCTTGCCCAGCAGAGACAGGGATTCAAAAGCTAGAGCACAACAGTCCTTTTGAGGCTTCAGACAACCAGGACACAGAAGAGATTCCAAAGACTATAGAGGCGTTTTCCCCCCTTCAGATACCGAACCAGTACCCATCAAAGGCAATAAATGCCATTCAGGCAGGACAAGAGTATGCCCACCAAAAAAGTCTTCACCTGACCACATGATTGGGGGGATGGCTCCAATTCTTCTCAGGGGACAAATGGGCACTATCGATCATCATAGAGGGATACAGGATAGAATTTACCTCTTCACCCCCCCACCCGTTACGCCATTCCCAGTCCCAAGATCCTGGGAGAAAAGATGCCTATTAAGTTAAGTGATTCAACACCTGATTCAAATAGGTGCGATAGAGGAGGTCCCCAAGGATCAACATTTCAAGGGGGTCTGCTCAGTACTCTTCATGGTTCCTAAGAGATCCGGGGACTGGAAGGTAGTATTAAACCTGGGAGGGCTCAACAACTGGGTGAAGAGATGGAAGTTCTGGATGGGATCCTTATGGCACGTTCTGCAAGTACTGCAAAAAGAAGATGTCCTGATCTCCTTGGATCTCAAGGAGGCCTATCTTCATGTCCCCCTGCACCCAGGTTCCAGGCAGTGCCTCTGGGTTCTGACACCAAGGGAGCCACATCCAGTACCGAGCTTTGGCCTGTCCTCCGCTCCAAGGGTGTTCACCAAGATCATGGTGATCCTAGTGGCACAGCTGTGACAGAGGGGAATCCACGTGTATACCCCTGTGATGAAACAGGCTCACTTTGACCTGCAGGCCCTATTCTGTCTGCTCCCTTTTTGGGTTGCCACCTCCTGGAGGGAGCCATTCCTCTTTCTTCCACTAGGGTATTCACTGCCCCCACCTGTTCAGTTTAGGGGTCCCAAATGAGAGGAACAGGACTCTCCGTCCCCCCTTCCCAGTTCTGAGGCCTGGCCTCAAGGTCTCCAGGGGCAAAATGCAGCTTTGGCTTTCGCCTGGAAGGCTGGCCACTTGCAATCTGACCTCTTTCCTCCCCCTTGAGGGTGGCCCCCTTTCCACTGTAGCGTGTCCAAAAGCAGGTGGGGCATGATGTGGCACAGAGATTAACCACCAGTATCAACAGATTAAAATATTTATTAAAAAGAAAATGTTTACAAGCACTCTTTAGCACCACACCAGATCAGCAATATGGAAACAAAAGAAATTGGGAATAAGAGCCATCCTTCTGTCCCTCTCTCTAAAACATTCTCTTAACTAGATGTCAAAATTAGGGCAGGCACCTAATCTTAGAAAGTTACAAAGTCCCTAAAGCTCTTCCATTACCTTCTGGCTCCCTGCAGGCATCCAGGCAGACCGCAGGGTCCGAAATGGTGGCCTGCTTCCAACCTCAGACAAGAGATCTGCTCAGTTCAGCATCCCAAGGGAAAACGAGACAATCTTCCCTTTGCGGGGAAGTTTTGTTAATCTTCTGTGTCTACCCACTTTACATCACTCTTTACACCCCTTTTGACCTGGTCTGGCCAGGTCACAGGTGCGTCCTGGGACACCTGGAAGGCTTTCTGGGAAATCTCCAGGCCAGTTAGCACCAAATCCCTCAATGGACTCTCTCAACCAGGTCATTAGCATTTCTATGGCTGGAATCTGACATGCAATTGAACTGACTTTGCCCATTCTTTAAACTAAGGGGGGAGGTAGGGAGGGACAGTCCACTGCCTGCCAACCCTGCTCCAGGAGTAAAATGCCTTTCTTCACAACCCGTAACTAGGTGACGTCCTGATATGGGCAAAGGATGTAGCTATGGCAATGGAGAGGAGCACACGACTTCCTCATCAATGTTCCAAAGAGCCACATGGAACCATCAAGGGACCTAGTGCACCTCAGGGCCAGAATGTGCACACACCCAGCCAAGGTCTTCCTCCCAAGAGAAGAACAGCAGAAAACCAGGACCTTGGTCTTGGGTATCAGGAGCAGCGGCTCCTCAGAGCTCCTGTATTTGGGAGCAGTTCGGGGCCTCCTGATCTCAGCCACAGATTTGGTGCTGTGGGCACTGTCCCAGTCAGGACCCTACAGTGGAGTCTCTTGCCCTCCCAAAGGGACATATCATGGTGCAAACACAGATGGATCAAGAGCCTGACGAGCCTGAAAAAGGAGCTGAAATGGTGGATGGTGAGCAAGAACCTGACCAAAGGGATCAGCTTTACTCAGCTGTGTCAAATTGTAGTAACCACGGAAGCAGCCAAGAGAGACTGGGGAGCCCATTGCATGGGCATGGTGACCCAAGGCGATGGGACAGCTCGGAGGAGGCACACGGCACCAACCGACTGGAGCTTCGTGCAGTCCATAAGAACATAAGAGACGCCAATGTTGGATCAGGCCAAAGGCCCATCCAGTCCAACACTCTGTGTCACACAGTGGCCAGAAATACCAGTGCCATCAGGAGGTCCAGCAGTGGGGCCAGGACATTAGAAGCCCTCCCACTGTTGACCCCCCCCAAGCACCAAGAAGACAGAGCATCACTTGCCCCAGAGCCCCTAGCTATACCTTGTGGCTAATAGCCACTGATGGACCTCTGCTCCATATGCTTATCTAATTCCCTTTTGAAGCCATCCATGCTTGTAGCACCCACCACTTCCTGTGGCAGTGAATTCCAAGTGTTAATCACTCTTTGGGTGAAGAAGTACTTCCTTTTATCCGTTCTAACCCGACCGCTCTGCAGTTTCATGGAGTGCCCACGAGTTCTTGTATTGTGAGAAAGGGAGAAAAGTACCTCTTTCTTTACCTGCTCTTTCCCATGCATAATCTTATAAACCTCGATCATGTCACCCCTCAGTCGTCTTTTCTCCAAGCTAAAGAGCCCTAAGCGCTTTAACCTTTCCTCATAGGGAAAGTGTTCCAACCCTTTTATCATTCGAGTTGCCCTTTTCTGCACTTTTTCCAAAGCTATAATATCCTTTTTAAGGTGTGGTGACCAGAACTGCACACAGTATTCCAAATGAGGTCTCACCATTGATTTATATAGGGGCATTATTATATTGGCTGATCTGTTTTCAATACCCTTCCTAATAATCCCCAGCATAGCATTGGCCTTCTTTATTGCAGTCACACACTGTCTCGACATTTTCAGTGAGTTATCCACTACAACTCCAAGATCTCTCTCTTGCTCAGTCTCTGCCAGTTCAGACCCCATCAATGTGTATTTATATTTAGGATTTTTGGCTCCAATGTGCATCACCTTGCACTTGGCCACATTGAACCCCATTTGCCATGTTGACGCCCACTCGCCCATCCTTGACAGATCCCCTTGGAGTGCCTCACAATCCTCACTGGTTTTCACCACCCTGAACAACTTTGTATCATCCGCAAATTTAGCCACTTCACTGCTTACTCCCATCTCCAAATCATTAATGAACAAGTTAAAAAGCAGTGGACCAAGTACTGATCCCTGCGGTACCCCACTGCTTACCACCCTCCACTGAGAAAATTGCCCACCTACACTCACTCTCTGTTTTCTATGAACTAGCCAGTTTTTGATCCATAAAAGGACTTGTCCTTCTATCCCATGATTTTTGAGCTTACTTAGGAGCCTTTGATGAGGAACTTTATCAAAAGCTTTCTGGAAGTCAAGGTAAATAATATCTATTGGATCCCCCTTGTCCACATGTTTGTTCACCCCCTCAAAGAACACTGAAGTCCGCCTGGGACTTCAGCCTTCCAGCAGGTCCTGTGGGGTTGAGCACGTGTTGGTTCACACTTGACAGCATGTCAACAAAGGCCCACATCAATCGCCAAGGAGGTACCAGATCAAGATCTCTGTTCCTGGAAGCCAAGCGCCTCCTACTGTGAGCAGAAAGGGACCTAGCTAGTCTACAGTAGGCGGTGCACCTCAAGGGCCTAGCCAACCTGGAAGCAGACTGATTAAGCAGGAAAGACTTGGACCCAGGGGAATGGATGCTGAACAGAGACGTAGTCATCCAGGTCACCTGTAGGTTTGGAGTCCCAGTGATGGACCTACTAGTGACGCCAAACAACTGCAAAACACGGATCGTCCTAGATTTCATGAGGCCAGAGCAGAGGGCGAGGATGTAGTCTCTCACCCATGGCCTGAGGTCCTGCTTTATGCCTTCCCCCCAGCGCCCCCTATCAGCCAGATGCTCATCAGGAGGGAGGAGGCAGAAGTGATATTTGTAGTGCCCTTCTGCCCAAGATGGCCATGGTTCTTGGACTTCATGCAGATGTCAAGTGCACCACCCTGGAGCCTGCCACACATGCCAGATATCCTATATCAAGGGCCAGTCCTTCACCTAGACCCAGCCTGGCTGTACCTGACTGCATGGAAATTGAACAGGTGGACTTAGAAGCTCACAGTTTCCCTAGCGGAATAGTAGACATTATGCTTCAGTCCAGAAGACCGTCTACAAGGCACATATGTAGCCACATGTGGCGGACATTCTGGAAATTGGGCAAATAGCAAAAAGCTGGACCCACTACATCCATCCCACAGGGACACGGTGACCTTCCTCTACGATGGTTGGAAACAAGGCCAACACGTTGGAGCGGCAGAGTGCAGCCCTCAACTCTATTCTGGGCCTTCGGAGGCTCAAGAACCTGTCCACAAACAAGCCTATGAAGTGCTTCATGATGGGAACAAGGCAGTTGGAACCACCTGTCAGAAACAGCTTTCCCACTTGGAGCCTCCCCCCTTCAAGCCACTGAAATCTGTGGGACTCAAGTCCCTATCATGGAAGGTGGCCTTCCTGGTAGCAGCAGTGACGTCCACAAGGAGGTTGTCGGGAACGGCATCCGTGTCGTCTAGGAAGGAGCCATGTGTGTCTCCCAGAAGGACTCGGTTACACTGAGAACAGATCCTTCATTCATACCCAAATTAACTCAGCACTTCATCTAAATCAGACAATAATATTACCCTCTTTCTGCATCAACATCCAAAAGAAAAAGTCTGGCGTCAGCTAGACGTGCGCAGGGCTCTGCACGTTCATTTGGACAGAATAGTGCCTTTGAGACTCACAGACTCCTTGTTTGTCTCGCACAGCAGCAAAAATCTAGGAAGAAAGGTCACAAAATCCACCATCGTATTCTGGGTTAAACAGTGCCTATTTAAGGGGGCGTACGAGGTGCAGGTATCCAACTGGCTAATTAATAGAAAACAGAGAGTGAGTATAAATGGGCAGTTCTCCCAGTGGAGGGGTGTAAGCAGTGGGGTACCACAGGGATCAGTACTTGGTCCACTGCTTTTTAACTTGTTCATTAATGATTTGGAGTTGGGAGTAAGCAGTGAAGTGGCTAAATTTGCGGATGATACGAAGTTGTTCAGGGTGGTGAAAACCAGTGAGGATTGTGAGGCACTCCAAAGGGATCTGTCAAAGATGGGCAAGTGGGCGTCAACATGGCAAATGGGGTTCAATGTGGCCAAGTGCAAGGTGATGCACATTGGAGCCAAAAATCCTAACTATAAATACACATTGATGGGGTCTGAACTGGCAGAGACAGATCAAGAGAGAGATCTTGGAGTTGTAGTAGATAACTCACTGAAAATGTCGAGACAGTGTGTGACTGCAATAAAGAAGGCCAATGCTATGCTGGGGATTATTAGGAAGGGTATTGTAAACAGATCAGCCAATATCATAATGCCGCTATATAAATCAATGGTGCGACCTCATCTGGAATACTGTGTGCAATTCTGGTCACCACACCTTAAAAAGGATATTATAGCTTTGGAAAAAGTGCAGAAAAGAGCAACTCGAATGATAAAAGGGTTGGAACACTTTCCCTATGAGGAAAGGTTAAAGCGCTTAGGGCTCTTTAGCTTGGAGAAACGACGACTGAGGGGTGACATGATTGAGGTTTATAAGATTATGCATGGGAAAGAGCAGGTAGAGAAAGAGGTACTTTTCTCCCTTTCTCACAATACAAGAACCCGTGGGCACTCCATGAAATTGCTGAGCGGTCGGGTTAGAACGGATAAAAGGAAGTACTTCTTCACCCAAAGAGTGATTAACACTTGGAATTCACTGCCACAGGAAGTGGTGGCAGCTACAAGCATGGACGGCTTCAAAAGGGAATTAGATAAGCATATGGAGCAGAGGTCCATCAGTGGCTATTAGCCACAAGGTATAGATAGGGACTCTGGGGCAAGTGATGCTCTGTCATCTTGGTGCTTGGGGGGGGGTCAACAGTGCCAGCCAGATCACAGCTCACTCAGCCAGAGCAGCAGTAGAGGAAACCTGCAGAGCCACCACGTGGGCATCCTTCTCTGCCTTCGTCAAGTACTGTCGTATTGACCAGACGGCCTCAGCAGAGGCAGCCTTTGGCAGGAGGGTTTTATGGCGGGTGGTTGATCCATAGAACATGAGAGGGATCCTGCCCAGATGTGCAGCTTGGGCAAATAATAATAATAAATAAAGCTAACCAGTTGGATGACGTCCCTCATGGCAGGAGAATGAAACATTCGACCTTAGCTGAAGGTTTCTTTTCTTTAGTGGGGCGGGATCCATTTCTTACCCCAAAATTATTTTATTTTAAAAATATGTGTGTCTGTGTGTGTGTGTATAGAGGGGGGGGGAGGTGAAAAGAAGGAAAAGAGAGAGAAAGTGTGAAGGCGCACGTGTGTGATCTTAGTGAAGAGAGAGGCAAGTGAAGAACACGTGCAGCAGGGCTTGGATGTGACGAGAGGGTCCGCCTTCCGATCACTCCAGTAGGGAGCCACACAAGATTTGCACAGCCCCGCCTGGAGCGAGCAGAGGCATATGACCTAACCACAGCTGGATGACTTCACCCCACTGAAGAGAAGAAACCTTCAGGTAAGGTCCCATGTTTTGTTCTCACCTGGTTTGGGGATCAGATCAACCCCCACTGGCAGGGAGGTATCTGTGGGCTTCATGGAGTTAAAGGTCTCTAATCTGGAGAACCAGGTTCAGTTCCACATGCCTCCTCGTGAAGCCAGCTTGGGTCAGTCACAGCTCTTTCAGAGCTCTCTCAGCCCAAAAACAAGTCTAGCTCACCACTAAAAGAGCTAGAACTCCTCCTGGCTATGCGACACACAATGCCATACAATAGCAATAGCTGTTACTGAAGGCCAGCCATGGCTTTTGTGGCAAGTTGCATCTCCAAGTCGATCTTTTGTTGTCTCCACCTCTCCCTCCCTCCCTCCCTCCCTCCTTGCAGGAATATGGGATCAGCAGACAGGAGAAGCTGGAGATTGCGGTTGGCTTCTGCCTGCCTCTCATCAGGAAGATCCAGCTGGACCTCCAGAGGACCCATGAGGATGAGTCAGTGAACAAACTGCACCCCCTGTAAGGACTGTGCAGGAGGAGGGTCTTGATGGGGAGGGATGTAGGGTGCCCTGGAGAAAATCCTCCCCTGGCCCAGCGAGCCTCTCCAGTTTTAGCAGCATGCAGAAGGCCCCACGGCGGCAGCAGCAGCAGCAGCAGCAGCCCTGGGTCGGGTCCTGCTGTGGGTGGCTTCTGTCTGCGTGCTGCGGCCTCTGGTGGCCACTGGCTGTGTCTGCCTAAGGATGGCTTGTGTCATCTCCTGTCCCTGGACCATCATACTGCCATCTGGTGCAGGCTCTAGGTTTCTCGGCCTTTTGCAGGACCAGAGCCAGTTTGGTGTAGTGGTTAAGTGTGCGGACTCTAATCTGGGAGAACTGGGTTTGATTCCCCACTCCTCCACTTGCAGCTGCTGGATGACCTTGGGCAAGCCGTAGTTCTGACAAGAGCTGTCCTTGAAAGGGCAGTCCTTGAAAGAGCTCTCTCAGCCCCACCTGCCTCACAGGGTGTCTGTTGTGGGGAGGGGAAGGGAAAGGAGTTTGTAAGTTGCTCTGAGACTCCGAGTGAAGGGTGGGGTATAAATCCGATCTCTTCTCTTCTTCTTGGTGCGAGGCCATGTAGATAAACTGCTGTTAACATTGCCCCTCTCTGAGTTTTGAAGCCATCTGTGGCCTGCATCATACATTGCCTGGATGGTAACTTGTGATGCTACTGATTACTCTGTTTTCAGGTATTCAAGAGGGGTCTTGTCTCCAGGGCGCCATGTCCGAACGCGCTTGTATTTCACCAGTGAGAGCCATGTCCACTCCCTGCTCAGCATATTCCGCTACGGTGGCCTCCTGGATGTAAGTGTGCTGCCGACAAAGGTTCTGTGACTATAGGAAACACAAGGCAAACGAAAAAGCATGACGTGCCGTTGGGGTGTGTGTGTTTAAGTAGGACACTGCAATAAAAATTGAGGTGATAACGATCGATAGTGCAATCAGTTGTGCAATAGACTGCATAACTGTTCCTTACGGAAGCAACCTCCTGTGCTTTTCCATTATATTAATATTATGATTTGTAAAAACACACTCCTGAGCATTTAGGTTTTGCACATTCTGAGGAGCAATGGAAGTGTGGGGGCCTTCCTGACTACCTCAGGCAGGCCATTCCACAAGGCGGGGGCCGCTACGGAGGAAGCGTGTGAACAGGTGGCTGCTGACCTTCCCCATTGGCCGGGAGGCACCTTCGGAAGGCTTTGCTCAGATGAGCATAGCTGTCGTGTTGCGGCCGTCCAGCCTGTGTGTGGGTCTGAGGCCGTCAAGGGCTTTGTAGGGGACGGCCAGAACCAAGAACTGAACCCAGTAGCTTGATTGGTAACCAGGGAAGTGTCTGCAGGATGGGTGTGGCATGCGTGTGATGTTCTGAGCCACCTGGAGTTCCAGAGTTGCCTTTAAGGGCAGATCCAAGTGGGGAGGGGACGTCACAGTAGTGTCCAGCCTCCAGGCAGCCTTTGCATGGAGGCATGCGGCCAGATCAGCCAAATCCAGGTGGGGCCCTTTTCCAAGTGAAGTGAAGCTGAACCAATTGCTTCTTGGCCGCCACGTTGGCTCGACTCTTCAGCAGTGAAGTTGGATCCATCGTCACCCCCACATGGCTCTTGATCAAGTCCCTCAAAGGCAGACGGGGCTGCCCTTTAGGACTCCAGCCCCTTCCCAGTTGCCATGACTTCCATCTTGTCTCAGGACTCTGTCCCGACTTGTTCACTGTTAGCTACTTAGCCACAGCGGTCAGGCAGCACTGGGTGTAGGACTAAGCCTTGGCGAGCACCGGGCAGGTCCTGCGCAGATGAGAGCTGGTCCCCAGCATCACGCCTCTGCGTCTTCGTAAATAAGGAACCGTTAAGCCAATCCAGCGCATCTCCCTCCAAATGTCTCAATAAGACGGCCTGGACCCACCACGGTATCCAAGGCTGCTTATAAATCCAGCAAAGAGGTACGCAAGCCCTGTCTGTGTTCAGTCACAGATCATCGACAAAGGCTACCCGGGCTACCTCTGTCCTGTGGCCAAGCTTGAACCCAGACTGAAAAGAGGTCTTAGGCAGATAACCTGGGGTTGCTCTGCTACCTCTCTATCACTTTGCTCCGGAAAGGCAAATCAAAGTGCCGGTGATAATTGGCCACATCGTTCTCCTCCATCGGCGGAGGAAAGTGTGGACTTTGCCTCCTCCTTGCTCTGTGGACAGAGGGCCTCTGCAGATGTTTGTAAAGGCTTCCACTGTCCTGAGGAGGTTCATGTCTTGCCAAGATTCCGGTAGAGGCAGACCCACCTTTAGCGTCACAGCCACACGAGAGAGAATTCTCTCTGAAGACCTGTAAGTGGTCTACCCTGCATTGATCTTGTTGCCACGAGGTTGTGGGAATCGGGTAAACTGCTAAGCACAGAAAGACCCTCTCTGTACTCCTAAGGCCATGCTGGTCAAGGAAGCAGTGACAATCTGGCTGGCCCCCTGGCTGTTGAGTCATCCTTTCACTGTGAGCTTCTGGGCAGCTCTGGGCATTGGGAACCTTTGTGGAGGAAATGGGACAGATCTTCCTTGTGAGGAAAGGGAGTTTGTGTGCGGGCCTTTGGGAGGTCATACAGCTGAACCACAAACCTGCCTTTCTTGGTCGTGATGCTTAAGAAATTCTCCTTTACCAAGTTTCTTTCTGGAGAAGAACTTGTAATGATGGAAGCTAGGATTCTTCTGGAGCTGTTTTTCTGGAATGCACAGACAAAAAGCAGTGCAAATAAAAACGAAATGAAGCCCTTCAAACCTAAGCCTGTGTGTACTGATTTGTGTGTGTGTATGTGTGGCACACAGGGTTATTTTTGAAGGGTGCGTGTGTGTATTTGTGTTGCACAGTAGCATACTTACTTCATGCTTCTGTGGAAGGGCAGCCAATTCTTGACTATATATTTTTTTTTGTGTGTGATTTTTTTATATGTGCATGTGTGTGAGTGAGTATGCACCTGGAAGCCATGGTGACCTCTGGTGACTGCCCCTACTGGGGGCCTGGAGGATATTTGCCGCCGGTATTCCAAGAGAGCCTCCCCTCGAAGTACTTGCCAGAATCGACCCTGCTTCGGTTCTGAGATCTGGCTAGATCGGGCTTGCCTGGGCTGTCTGGGGGTCAGGGCTCTTTACTGTATTTATAATGTCAAGGGAGTAAACTTTTTCCTCGTGTGCAGTCCTCTCGTGACTTCCCTGTTCCCTGTTGGAAGACAGCTGGAGCAGAACCAGGGTAGGATGGCACCCTGGGGGGACCCACTGACCCCTGCTCCTTGCCTCTGTGGCAGGAATCGAAAGACCCCCAGTGGAAGAGGGCCGTGGACTACCTGAGTGCCATTTCGGAGCTGAACTATATGACTCAGATCGTCGTCATGCTCTACGAGGACAATAATAAGGTGAGGGGGAGGGGCAGAAGTGTGTGCCGGGGGGGCGGGGCGGGGGCAGGGCCTCTGCGTCAACCCACCTGGCTGTTTTGGCAGGACCCCTCTTCCGAGGAGAGGTTCCACGTGGAGCTGCATTTCAGCCCGGGGGTGAAGGGCTGCGAGGAGGACGGCAGTGCCCCGGCGGGCTCTGGCTTTCGGCCTGCGTCAGCAGAGGTGAGTCTCTGTCCGGGCAGCACAGCCTCCGCCCCCCCTCCTAGCTTCTGGGCCGGCCTGCTTGGGGGGAGGCTCCCTGGCCGGGCTGGTGCCTCCTGCTTGGGGATCAGTGCGAGGAGAGTGCCACAGGCCGGACACGGCCCCCGTGTGTTTCCCTGCAGAAGGAAGCCAAGAAGCTATTTGTGTTGCACAGTAGCATACTTACTTCATGCTTCTGTGGAAGGGCAGCCAATTCTTGACTATATATTTTTTTTTGTGTGTGATTTTTTTATATGTGCATGTGTGTGAGTGAGTATGCACCTGGAAGCCATGGTGACCTCTGGTGACTGCCCCTACTGGGGGCCTGGAGGATATTTGCCGCCGGTATTCCAAGAGAGCCTCCCCTCGAAGTACTTGCCAGAATCGACCCTGCTTCGGTTCTGAGATCTGGCTAGATCGGGCTTGCCTGGGCTGTCTGGGGGTCAGGGCTCTTTACTGTATTTATAATGTCAAGGGAGTAAACTTTTTCCTCGTGTGCAGTCCTCTCGTGACTTCCCTGTTCCCTGTTGGAAGACAGCTGGAGCAGAACCAGGGTAGGATGGCACCCTGGGGGGACCCACTGACCCCTGCTCCTTGCCTCTGTGGCAGGAATCGAAAGACCCCCAGTGGAAGAGGGCCGTGGACTACCTGAGTGCCATTTCGGAGCTGAACTATATGACTCAGATCGTCGTCATGCTCTACGAGGACAATAATAAGGTGAGGGGGAGGGGCAGAAGTGTGTGTGGGGGGGGCGGGGCGGGGGCAGGGCCTCTGCGTCAACCCACCTGGCTGTTTTGGCAGGACCCCTCTTCCGAGGAGAGGTTCCACGTGGAGCTGCATTTCAGCCCGGGGGTGAAGGGCTGCGAGGAGGACGGCAGTGCCCCGGCGGGCTCTGGCTTTCGGCCTGCGTCAGCAGAGGTGAGTCTCTGTCCGGGCAGCACAGCCTCCGCCCCCCCTCCTAGCTTCTGGGCCGGCCTGCTTGGGGGGAGGCTCCCTGGCCGGGCTGGTGCCTCCTGCTTGGGGATCAGTGCGAGGAGAGTGCCACAGGCCGGACACGGCCCCCGTGTGTTTCCCTGCAGAAGGAAGCCAAGAAGCCTGAGCAGGGGAGCCTGGAGGACCTGGCCCAGTCCAAGGGGGCTGACGAGGTGGACCGGATTCAGCCCGCAGAGCCCGTCTACCTGCAGCGACGGTCGCCTCTGGTCCGTAACCGCAAGACTGGCTCCATGGAGGTAACAGGATCTCTTCCCAAGGGGGGGAGGCCCGAGGCTTTCAGCTTTCTTCCCTGTCTCCTCCCTTTCCCTGACCCCAGGGGGACATGGTGTGGGGCTTTTTCTTTCCCTCAAGACCATCTCTCTTTTTCAACCCCCAACCTCCCCCCCCCCCAAGCTGGGTTTCGTTTGGCCCCTTCCCTGCCCCACTCTGAGTGGCTCTGAGGGGTTCTGCGGATGGCTGCCCACTGAGGACTGTTTCCTGCAGGTGCTGTCCGAGTCCTCTTCCAAAGCCGGAGGGTATCGCCTCTTCTCCTACTCCAGGCACTCCTCAGAAGTGAAGCAGAGCGGCTTAGGTACCGGCTGCGTCTCCCCCGTCAGTCTGTCTCTGATTCATAGGGAATGGTGGGAGGTGGGGCCGGGAGGGAAAGCTCGCACTCCCCCCTGCCCTCCCCCGCAGAAGGGAGCCTGTGCCACCCCAGGTCACTGGGAGGGGCTGCTCCAGCTCTCCATCGCTGTGTCCTCCTGACCTCTCCTTGGTTGGGAGCAGAACTGCAGGGTCCCCCAAGCCCAAACGGGAGCTTTTGCAAGCCTGCCTGAACACAGTGAAGGGGGCCCTCCGATTTGGCATCCTCCAGCAAGCACACGTCTTCTCCCCTGGAGCACAGTGCATGCTTCAGTGCGCGTCTGCGGGCCATCACAGTGTATCTTGCTCCTGGGAAGCGGTGGTTTCCTGTTCTCCTGTGCCATGTGCCTGCTAGTATAACACCATGTTTCCCGTTGCAGTTTTGTGCATCAGTGTACATCATCTCTGCAGACCCGGGTGAGGG